AAAAAAAAAAACCCACTTAGAGGTTATTTCAGGTCCCCATTATCAAGCAACACATTTTAAAGCTTGGCTGGGGGTGGGGGGGACGGGGAGGCTTCGAACTCTTAACTTTGCTACCTTGAGATAGGGCTCTAGCGAGAGCTTAGCTTTCATCAAGTGTCACAATCCAGGCTTTGTATGATGCAAGCCTTTTGTCAAAAGACAGAGGCATCATTGATATGACGAGTTAGATCTAGTGATCCAGCAAGCGGAGTCCCATGCACATTATGTCAAAGAGGCAATTTTCTCCTACCTTCCCTTTAATGACCCCTCTCTCCCCCACAAAATATTGCTCCAGAAAATTGGCAGTCCTCCAGCAGAGCATGGAAAGTGCCTCAGGGAGCTGCTGGAGAGGAGACTCAAGGAATTGATGTTTGAAGGCCACTCTGCCTTCATACATCAGCGGGAGTCCTGCTAGATTACAGTCTCCTCCACCAACGGATCTACTCTGTGGAAGAAGAATTGGAGCCATGAACTTTGCTTTGTAAGACTTACACGTTTGAGAAATGGGGTGCGGGCCTTGTGTTTTGGAATGCTGCAGGGATTTAGAGAAATGATCCTCTGGCAATTCCAGAATTTTGTTGTCTTCATGAGCCACGGAGTCTACTTTAACCAGAAGCCACACCTCAGTCTTTTTTCATCCACCCATAAGTGCCATCTTTCTTAATAGTCTTAACAGATAACAGATAATCAGAGTTGGAAGGGAATCTCGTAAATGACCAAACTGGTAGTTAACCCTGTCGTATCCCACCCCTGCCCCTTCCTCTCTGTGGCAGCCCCTCAAATATTGGAAGACCACTATCATGTCTCTCCTGGTCATCTAGTCCACCCCCCTGCCCAAGTGGGAGACCCTACCCCATTTCTGTCAGATGGCAGTCCAATCTCTTCTTGAAAGTCTCAAGTGATGGAGTTCCCACAACTTCCAAGGGCAAGCTGTTCCATTGGTTGATCGTTCTCACTGTCAGAAAGTTTCTCCTTATTTCCAGGTTAAATCTCTCCTTGTTCAGTTTCCATCCATTATTCCCTGTCTGGCCTACAGGTGCTTTAGAATATAGCCTGACCCCTTCCCAGGGGTGGGTTTCTACCAGTTCTGTCCACCTCTGTAGAACCGGTAGCTCTGAAGAGCACCAGACATAGAACTGGTTCTATGTCTGCTGATGTTTTTGCCCACCCGTCCACCTGGGCTCTTACCTGACCTTTATTTCCTGAGTTTTCAACTTCAGCTGCTGAACAAGGCACAGCTGCAGTTAAAAAAGCAGGAAAAGAGGGCTGTTTCAAAGGCTGCTTCTCTGCACGCAGCGTGCTGATGACGATTTACAGGTGCCTGCCGGCAGCGTGCAGGTAAGCACATCGTAAATCACTGAATCTCGTAAATGACCAAACTGGTAGTTAACCCTGTCGTATCCCACCCCTGCCCCTTCCTCTCTGTGGCAGCCCCTCAAATATTGGAAGACCGCTATCATGTCTCCCCTGGTCCTTCTCTTCACTAGACTAGCCAGGCCCAGTTCCTGTAACCGTTCTTCGTATATTTTAGTCTCCAGTCCCCTAATCATCCTGGTTGCTCTTCTCTGTACTTTTTCTAGAGTCTCAACATCTTTTTTCATAATGTGGTGAACAAAACTGGAACAAAACTAATAGCAACTGATACCATCAACATAACCCTGACAGCTCACAAACCATACAGAAGTAAAAATCAATACAGGTATTCCTCACTTTAGTGACCATAATTGGGACCAGATGTTCTTTCATCAGGCTGAGTTGCTTTGCACTTAAGTCAGAAGCACCAAGGTGCATTAGCCAGTTGACATCATTGATGTCCTGGGGACATCCAGTTGGGGGTTCCCTTCATGTCCTCGGCAAGAGCTGGAATGAAGGACAAGAGCTCAACCTTTCCTCATGGCAGCTCTCAGCTCTCAAACACGGACTTGCTCACTTCCTGCCCAGGGTTCCAACCACTTGAGCCACTGTGCTCCAGCTAAGTGACTGCTAAGTGGGAAATCACATGACAGGGCTTTCCTTTTCCCCACTCCCCCATCCTTTGGGACGCTCATTCCAGTGCTGGGTGCTGAGATAATTAGCAAGAAGGGAATTCATGTTTCTATTTACATTCATTGGAGCAAAAGGGGTTATGAGAGAGTAAGAAAGCACACAGTGAGGAAAATTCCTTGAGAGCAATGTGTTGGTATCCACAGTCCAAGCTTGGTACTCACACAGCCTGGTGTGCATTCCTCACTGTGTGCCTGCTTGTTCTCTTTAATCTCTTCCTCTCCAATCTCTCTGCTCAGCAAGGCAGCTGAGGAGAACAAAACAACAGGGCAAGCACAGTACATTGAGTATGGCCTATAATGAGGATCATGTGACTGAGGAACGCTGCTAAGCTCGTCAGTGAGGTCATTAGTTGTAAAATTATTTTTTCAACATTGTCATTAACTTCAAATGGTTATTGAAACAAAGCAGTAAGTGAAATCTACCTGTACTCCCAACTTCCATACATTCCCACAAATTCACAAACAAACAACAAACTTTCTGGACTCTAGACTCATACATGTGAGAAAACCAGGCCCTCGCGGCTTTTGGAAGGCTAGGAGCCTGCCAGACCTCAGTGGGGTATTTAAAAGACAGAGACAGTTACTGTTGTGGTTCACTGGCAGCAGACTCAGATGAGGGGCCTGCGTGTGATGCAGGGATGGGGCCAGGACCATCAGGGAGTGGGATGCTGCCTTTGGAGATTGTGGAGGCTGGCAGCAGTGATGAAGAGGCCCCCAAGGAGCCTCTGCCCAGTGCGCGTGTGCACAGGGTTGCTTGAAGGAAAGAGCAGCTGCAGCAGCACGGGTGACTCGGGAGTAAGACTGCAAGGTAATGGCCCTTCCCTTAAGAGATACAAGCCAGCTGAGAAATTGGAGTTCTTTGCAGGAAGCAAAGAAGTTTTTGCACTCAAGCCTGGTGCACATTAGGAATATCTTGGTTGGTGTTTGGAGACTCTTTGTGTTTGAAATATTTCTTAGTAACTTTATCTAACATTCTTGGCAGCCTTGCACAACCTTGGCAAGGCTCATTCTTATCAGAGACAATTAGTTTGAAACAGCCTTTTAACCATGAAGGAACAGAATTTGTAAAGAATCATTAAAAGATTTTGCTGTTACCTCAGTTTCGTGTTTGTTTCCTTGGAACAAGGTTTGGGTCAGAACAGTTACTGAGAAAGCATACTGCCTAGCATAATGCCCACCAGATGGCAACATTTGAGGGAAGGGGTCTGAGAACATCCACCCTCTCACACCTAGTGGAATGGGCGGGGTGCTGCCAAGGAGAAGCGGTCTCGCAGATAATCTGACCCTGGGCCATTTAGGTCTTTAAAGATGGTAACTAGCACCTTGAATAACATCAATAAAGAAAATGGAAGACAGAGCAGTTTTCCTCAGCAATAGGGTAACGTGGGTTAATTGTGGAGCACCCAGATCTATGTGGGCCACCACATTTTGCACTAGTTGTAATTTGTGTGGTTTTTTAAGTGCAGCCCCAGGTAGAGTGTGCTGCAGTAATCTAGCCAGGAAGGGATCAAAGTATGAGCAACTGTATGTAAATCCTCCCTGTCTAGGAATGGGCGCAATTGGGACATAAGATGAAGCTGTGCAAAGACCCCCTGAGGAGCCATAGCTGCCAGGTGCTCCTTGAGAAAGATCCCAAGTCCAGGAACATATCCAAATTGTGCACCAGCAAGAGTCAAAGATACTTCACCGGAACCAAAAGGATCAAAAAATCAGAGCGACTCTGTCTTTCTAGGTTAAGTTGAAGCCAATTCATCCTCATCCAAATGCCTCCAGGTGCTGAGCCAACACCTGGACAGCATTACCTGGGTAGAGATGTATAACAGGTATCATCAGCATACTGATGATAGTGCAACCATCTGCAAGGATATTGACCACTTATTTTTATTTAAGATGTTCAGAATGAATGGTAATTCTGTATGAAACACCTACTAGGTTGTTGTTTAAATATTTTATTTATTGATTTAATTTATATGCTACCCATCTCACTCTGAAAAGCTACTCTTTCTATTTATAGAAATCTAAAATAGTTTAATTCCATCACTTTAATGCCAGCTTAGACATCTGGTGTGATAAATTATATATTTCAAAAAGATGAGTTTGCATCGCTTGGGTGGATAT